TGGTTTGTCACTAATTTCCCATTTGATTTTTCTCTTTGGGTAAAATTGACCTACTCTGGAATTACCATACTTGCTTCCCTGGCTGTAAAGAGTATGGAAATTCTACCTCTGCGAGTGTGTGTCCTAGATCTGCAGCTGCTCTTTTTGGGGTGCTAATGGACTGTAAGTTTCAGGCACAGCAGGACGGTTCATGGTGCTCTCTGGGTATGTATAGCATTCTGACACCCCAGCTCCTTCCAGAGACTAAAGAGGCCCAGAGCTCTGCAGAATCACCTTGGAGGAGATTCTGGAACACCCAGGTGTGTTTCTGATAGGAGGTAGAAGAAGGTTATGCATCGTTCTTGGTCCAGTACGTTTCCACCACGGCGCAGCTACCACATATAGGGAGGCCACGTGGTGTGGGAGGAATACTAGTCACACTTCACAGCTAGTTAGAGCCCTGGCCACTTGGTCTGGCTCTAAACAGCTGTACTATTTGTTCTTTTCTTTTCCTTTTTTTGAGATGGAGTCTCATTCAATTGCCTAGGCTGGAGTGCAGTGACGCGATCTTGGCTCACTGCAATCTCCTCCTCCAGGTTCAAGCAATTCTCCTGCCTCAGCTTCCCAAGTAGTTGGGATTACAAGTGCCTGCCACCACACTCAGCTAACCTTAGTCCTGACCTCAGGTGATCTGCCCAACTCAGCCTCCCAAAGTGCTGGGATTACAGGTTTGAGCCACCACGCCCAGCCACCATTTGTTCTTAACCATCCCACATTGCCTTAGTTCATCTGTCTTTAGAAGAATGTGTTTAGATTAAATAATTTCAGATTTTTACCTAAAGGTGCAAATTCAGTGATTAACACCTTGAAGAAGTAATGATAGCAATCACTCATATAGTGCTCACCATGTACCCGGTACTGGCTTAAGGACATGTTCACTCATTTAATTCCCACAAAAATTCTATATGTACAATTATCTCTGTTCTATGGATGGGGAAACTGAGGCGGGGGGGGCTAAAGAACTTTCCCATAGCAAATAGCTACTAAGAAACAGGGCTGGAATTTGAACTCAAGCAGCCTGGCTCCAGGAGCTCTGCTCTTACCTTCTATGTTATTTCCTCTTACATGAAAACAGTTACTTGTAGTTTCAATTAAAACAGGAAAATGTCCTTCCTTATTAGGCTACGAACTAGGAAGGAATCTGCCTCTTTGGCTGTTCACATTTCCTCTCCTTGCTCCAATGCTGTTCAGATCATTAGAGGGTTATAAGCCAACCTGTCCATTTGTCAAAGCTGGGAAGACTTTTATATGCTGAGCTCCCATCCATCAAATAGGACTTCTGTGATTAAAGACCGAAGCACATGGTTGGACAAAATAAGTACCAGAACAGGCAGCACCCACAGGTGTGTAATGGAAAAATTAGGCAAAGTTTTATACAGTTCTACATAAAAATACATATCTCAATAATCACTGCAGAGCTAGCATACTCCATATGCTTGTC